GGCGAGGACCCGTCTCCCGCCGGAGCCTCTGCGCGGGCAGCGCTGGGCACCAGGCTCCTCACCGCAGGAGGCCCCACCCCGCGGCGCCGGCACTGACCGTGAACACCCTCAGGTAGTCGGGCAGCGCCGCGGCGAACTTGCTGATGGTGTAGCCTTTGGCCTCCTGGTTGCTGTCCAAGCCCCGCTGGATGCTCTTCCAGAGGATCACGACGACCTCCAGCAAGCCCGCCATGGACGCCACGTCGCTCGCCGACAGCGTCTTCTCCAGGCCCTGGGGGCGACCGAGTGGCGGCCGAGAGTCAGGCCAGGCCCGGGCGGCGGCGCTCCGGGGTCACAGAGACGCAGAGGGCGGCCGCTCCTCGGCACAGCACGTCTGACGCTCGCCCAAGAGACGAACTCTGGCTTCACACCTGCCACGGCTTGGACAGGACAAAGCCTCCACACACCGAGACGTGACCGCAGCCGGATGCCGGCAGGCGTCAGACCGGGGAGCGCCTCTGGCCGGCCAGCGGCCCCCCTGCCTGACCCCCGGCCTGCCAACCCCCACGCCTGTCTGTCTGCGGGCCCCCGTGGGCAGGTGAGCAGTACTGGCCCTCTGCGCCGCCACTTAAGCCACAGATGTGGCCGCCCCGTGGCAGGGAGGGACCCCCAGGGCACCCCAGGCCTCTCCTGTCTTCTTACCCCCTCAGCAGGGGGTTTCAAGGGTCCGCCTGCTCCGCTCTGCTTCCCGATGTCTCTGGGGAGACCTCTCAACCCCACACCTCTGGCCTGCACCCCACCCTATGCAAAATAAATGTGCAAAAAACCTTAAGTTTTGTAATAAAAAATAAGCCACAAATGCCTCCAGCAAGCCCCTGCCCTGCAGAGGTGGTGGCCAGGGCAGGAGCCTGTGACTGCCAAGGCGGGTCTGACCCCGGCGAGGGGCCACAGGGGACCACCCTCAGGGCGCTGCCGCCGGGTGCAAAGTGCTTCATTTCAGGCGCGGGCACCTCTGGGCAAACTCGCCCCTGCGCTGGGGAGGAAGGAGGCCCCGCTCTGCTGGGCGCCCAGGCCATCAAGGCAACCGCACGGGAAGCAGCGCCCCGAGGAGGCCACAGCCATGGCTTTCAGAAGGGGGGGGCGCGCCCTGGTGGCTCAGGGGTGCAGCTGCCGCAGCACCTCACTGGAGGCCGCTCCCGTGCAGGGCGCGGGGCGCGGCAGCCCCCTCCCGCCTCCCTGCTGCCCCCTCGCAGTGGGCTTCGGTCCGCCCGGCTGCCCTCTCTGGTGAGTCCCCGCACCCCCGCACCCCATTAACAAACAGTTGGCAGACGGCAGGGAGGAGGAAGGCAAAGGAGCCGCAAGGGCGTGGAAAGCACGGCGGGACTCGGCCGGCCGAGGGAGCCGGGCGGGGCGGCGGCTCCAGCCCTCAGGGGCAACTTCCGAGGGGCACAGGTCTGCGCGGAGGGGTGCCCGGGG